TAGAATGTGAAATATTTATATTAATACTTAGTAGTAAGCTTTTGGTACTCCTCCATACTATATATAATTAGTAGTGATAGGTGAAATAGTGGACTATTCTTAAAATCCTCTGTTATAAATATAATAGTTTAGAGGGCAGGCAATATTAATAGAACTGGTGAAAAAGATTAATTTTGATCTTAATCTTCTTTTTCTATATTTTTGATAAGGAGAGCCTTGATATGATTAAGTAAAGTCCTGTATAATATACCTGATTCCTCTAGGTGCCTGTAATCGCTTGTTATATCGTTATTGAGCTATAAAAGTAGAAAAAGGTCTCGGGAATTCTTGGTTGTTAAATAGATATATAGTATTTGAGTGTATGCGCTCGTGACATATCCACAGGGCGATAGGAGGAGGATAATATTTAATAGGAGAACTATATTCTATAATTCTTGAGGTAAAGATTATCTCTAAAGCTATATTAAATGAACCAAGCGGACGCAATTGTTAGTTTATTATATTTATTGTTGCTTAACTCTTTAAAAAAAGATGCTACTTTAATGGCTCGGGTTTCGGGCTATATATATTTCTAGATTATTAAGTATATTTCTATTAGAAGGGTGATAAGTAAAGGACTCTAACTTATTAAAGATATTTTAATAGCATGTTTCTATATTTATATGGTCTCTACCTTATTCTCTCGCCCTAACAGGTTGCTATTTTTCCTTGGGTGCTTCTATAGTACGATGCCGTGGTTAACTATGATATATTTAGTTAATTATAGATGGTTCAATGGTCTTAAGAGGATTAAATTATTAAATAGTGTTATTCTGACTGCGGAGATAAAAGTCTTATTAGATTATATTAGGGAGATCTCCTAGATTTTAATATTTACAGAACATGGCTTAGCTTGCCCTGTTAAGCCTTAAGTTATATAAGTAGAATAAATGTTTTATCCACGCATGCTTGAGTATTTGCATTATAACCCTGTTGCCTAAATTACCAAGAGATAGACTAGTTATATTTTTTTTTTATAAGAGTTAAGGAGGCCAGGTACTACAGCTTAGACCTTGGTATAAAACTGCTAAAAACTGTTTTAGTAGTTCTAAACCTTGAGCCCTGAGAACTGCCAAGAGATTTTCCAGGTATAAACAATTATAAATAATTTTAATAAGAAAAGTATTTGCTTATAAATCCTTAATTATATAGATTATACCTCTTGGCAGGTCTTTTAACAGTTCTCTTAGCAGTTCGCGGTTCTAGACCTAGGAACCGGAATCGGACCATGCCGAGGTCTACTACAGCTAGTATATCTAGGAGTGGTCTTTGTCCGAACAGTCTAGAATTTGTACTGTTTTGATAAAATAAAAAAACTATTATTTAAATATACCTAAATTAGTTTTAAATGTGTGTACAAGACTAAAGTATGGCAGTTTAGAGGGCTTGGCAGGGATAACTAAGTTCTGAATTTATGTGATCTTTACGGATTTGATTAAAGGTCTTGATTTTTTTCTAGCTATATAATATAGCTTATATTTATATAATCCCTAGAGCTTTAAAATGATAATCAATCAGCTTAACAGGAAGAAGTAATTAATTATGTTATATTAACTAAAATAACCACTAATTCAGAGCTTTAGATATTCTGGATTATTCAGCCATCGCCTCTGAAGATCATATTTCAACTAAAATAGTGGGAGGTAATAAAATATTAATGTGCGAAGGCTTGGCAAGTAGAATAACTAAAGATCCGGATAGGATTGGATTACTAAAATAATTAAATAAAGTAATTATTTTAGTTATATTAAACAAATAAATTGAAGGCTTGTCCTTTTTTAACTATATAATAAAGAAACCAATATTTATGTAATCTCAGGGGCTTCAGGATTGCCATAAAACGAGCTGAATTACATGATTTTATATTATACAATTTATATTAATCAGTTATATGATCAGTCTGGTCAAGTAAGGTGATGATCTTTTGCTTAGTTAACTCTGTATTTTAATATAAAATTGTAGTCTATTAGTAACTAAAAAGAACCAGGAAAGCAAAACCTAATAATAAGAATTCTCTTTATATAATCAGAGAAAAGAATTTTAGGTTAAGCTAAAGCTATAAAAATATTTCGGAGGGTCCTGGATGCTAAAAACTGTGTTATTAGTTAAGAGTTTTATAGGCGAGTATCTTTCTGGTGTTATTAAGGGGGTTAATAGATAAATATTCTACTAGAACTGAATTCTAATATGTGCGATAACAGGCACAAAGGATCAGATAATATTGTAATATAGTTTTTTTATTTTTCTCGCAGGAGAAAAAAAAAATGAGTAAAAATAGCTTCTTAGATTATAAAGCGCTTTTCCTGAAGGCAGCAGAGGAAAAAAAACAGGTAAATATAGAAAAAAAACAAGCAGAAAAAAAAAAAGACAGGTAGAGAAAAAAAAAAAAAAAATAAAAAAAAAAAAGAGGCAAGAGAGGGAGTATAACTAACTAACTACTTTTGAAGAGTTTATTTAATATTATTATAATCTTCTTTGGCGGCTGCTACAAGTTAAAGCTCCTTCTTGTTTAATAATAGGTAAGATCCCTCCTCTTACCGGAAAATACTATCTTATATAGTTTTGTCTATGGATAGATTGTGCTGCTATACAGCGAGAAATTTACACGTCAGTTTACTATTACCTACAGCCTACTGAAGATGCCCCATAGCTATTTATACTTTTAGTTAAACTAGAGAGCCTTAGTTAATATTTTATACTTTGTCTGATTAGTAATAAACAAAATCTCAAAAGTTATGAGCAATTTACTGTTAAAGATCATGTGTGTGATATAATTTTGGTATTATATAAGATACCTGCTGCTCGTGAAGAATTTGGGCTTGGTGATAGTATATAGTTTAATAATCATACTAATTTGCTAGAGGTTGAATAATCTGGATCGGACACCCTACTATCTAGGTCTAATTAATTCTGTATCTACTGAGTTGACAGTCAATCAAAAGTCTTACTAATTATTATTAAATATAAACCCCCTTATAAACTATTAGTGCAGACTATACAGGAAGGATTCTGACTGATAGAATTTTGGCAGGAAATTATTAAACCAGATATTATACTAAAAGATAGGCCTGAAAAACAAAAATATAATACTATATGTCTAGCTAGGTCCGTGGCTGTTTAATAATTCTATAGGATAATATAATATAGAGTCGGGTGCTCTTTTATCACGAACAGCCTTCTAGATGTGTAATTATAGGTGCCTTTTGACGATCTAACTACTTTATATTATGATATAGATAGGCCTGATATTGATGTTCGGGGGCCGCGGACTAGAGTTAAGAGGGCTTTATATTCTTATTTAATAAGCTTTTGTATCCCTTTTTGTGATCAGGCCTGGCAGAATACCGCCGAAAAGAAACTACCGAAATAATATATAAGTTTTAATAGCGAGCGTTCTTAGATCCTAGCGGCTAAATTATTACTGATTATAAATATGGATTATACTAGCTTAGAATATATTAGTCCTAAGTAATCTATCTCTAAATATATATTTTTATTATTTTTTGCGGGGTCTCCTGCCACTAAAGATTGTTAAGTATTTACACAGGCGGCCTTTAGTTATGTGTTTTTATCTAACTAGTATCTCTAAAAGGATTTATCAGATTCTGAGGTAGATCCTGCTGTATCTGCTGGACAGAAGTATAGGTTTAGCTAAATTATATTATTCTCTTTAATTTAACAGTTTGTAACTCAAATAGATTCTTGAGGGAATTAGAGTAGATAATCTTGTCTATATTTTATTTAATATTATATATAAAAATACTTTCTAGGGCTATAGTAGGGCGGCCTGCTTGATCCTGACTGTTTAAACATAGAGCTGTATATATTTGGCAGAAGAAATAATAACTACCACCTAATTAACGCAGAAGTCTTAGCGGAAAAGCTTAAGGTGTAGTTTAATTGGGATCTAGATTATAATTGTACTCTAATAGGGCCTTATAGGTCTTATAATATACTATATAAGATTATATGTGCCACATATAGGTATACTATTGTTAGTAAAGGGACGATGTTATAACTTTAGAATAAGATATTATATAAAGCGGATATTTATTATATCCTTTAGCGAGTCTAAAGATTGGCTGTTCTGGTCTTTCTTGGAGCTATTAATCTGGTCCAGATCTACTTTCTTCACAGTGTGGGAGAAATCTGTTATATACTTCTTATGGGCTGGGGGGGTGAGGGCGTGGGCCATATAAATCTTGATAAGACTATTTAGTATGTGATTTTTTGGTTAATTAAAGAGATTTGCTTTTTAGGTATCCTTTACTAGGATCTCTGACCGGAAAATCTCTTATGGAATGCTGAACTCAAACGGGTCTTAATTATTAATTTTTATTAATATATATTAGATTATCAGCCAAAGTATAAGCGGCCAGACTCTCTTAAATGACACTATGGACTTAAAAAATGTAAATCTAAAAGATTATATATGGTTTAAGTAAAAGCCACTGGAGATCGGGCTATAGCTATTTTATTTGTTGCTACTAATTATGTATAGTGCTAAGAAGTACTAGAAGCTTCCTGCTGAGTATTAATAAATATTTTATATTCTGTAAGAGTATAGATATTAATACAGGGTGTATGTGTGTGTATTTATACGCTGACCTCTCGCCATAGGCGATATGCAGGATATTACTATTTAGTTATCTCTCTAAATACATCTGTTTATTGTAAATTATTTCTTTCCTAATAAACTTGGATTATCCAGAACCAAAAAAAAATCTATAGAGTAAGTATAAGCTCTTAATAATACTGGTATTGGTCTAAACGGAACTATATCTGATATAGTTATTTAATTTATAATAAGCACTTAATTTCCTATTAAGTAAAAACTGAGTAAATATATTGGATTGTGGCTAAAGTTTTATTTTTATAGAGATCTTAGTTTCCTGGTCCTTAATATTCTTTATGCACTGTTGTACTTGTTCTTGTATTTGGTCTTTATACCCTTGCAAGTGTTATTTTATTTCTTTAATATATTTATTAGCTGTGATACGTACCTTAATATTACTATTGTTGACTTGTTTCTGAAATTCAGCTTTTTTCTGAGTATATATGTTGTAAATCTTATCGCGATATTCTGTTATAACATAGTTAATATACTGTGCGAGCCGGCGCTTAATTATTTTATTAATATATTATTCGAGCTAATACTTAATTATTATGTTAGTCTTAGGAGAGCTAGTTATAGGCTTGAGTTTATAGGCTAGATAGTGGTTTATGTTTTTTGGTATAGTAAGTAGATATTTGCGGCCGGATTAAATTAATAGTCTGCGGATTAAGTTATCAGAAATACTACAGAATTTATGTTTAAGGTGCGCGAGTTTCTAATACTCTGTTTGGCTGGGGAAGGAAGTATGCTAAAAGTGAGTCGGGCGGATTAAGGACGGTGATTAGGAAAGGGCGCGAGTGCTTGGTGTGTTAACTTTAATTAAAGAGCCTATTAGTTAAGGGAATAAAAAATATAGTATTTTTTGTTTTTCACAGTTGGGTGATATTAACTGTGGGTCTAAATATTATTATTAAACTATTATATAATATATTATAAAAAAATAAGAAGATACTTCTGCGGTATTTTCCTATTACTTGTTTATAATATATAAGAGTATCCATTTGCTCGGACGCGGACTCAGGGTAATATAGGGATGGATCAGGTGACATAGTAAAGATATGCTAATCTGTCTCCTATATATTATAGCGAGCAGTATTAAAAAGTACTACTTGAAGACTTTCTTTCTGTAGGGCATAGGAAAGATTTTTTAGCTTATTAAGTTAGTTATTCTTAAATTATCATTTAGAGAAGTGTAGACGGAGAAATTTAGATTAACAGATTTTAATAAATAAATAAAACTTTAAATCTCCTAATATGGCGGGTATTAGAGAGTCTATCCCAGATAGACTTAAAATAATACTAACCATAGCAAGTGTAAGACTTAGTGTTAACACAGCCGAAACATTTATAACAGGCGCTAGGTGTGAGGAAAGTAGACAAGATAAACAAAGGGAGTTATTACTTTTCTAAGCTAAAACATATTTTTCAATTTATTCTAGAGGGATTATTAAACTCACCTGAAATCTGCTGCTCGAGTTAGTAAGATTTATTATAATTAATAGTAAAATAGATACTTGGTTAGTAGTTTAACTATGCATGCTAATTTAGTTATGTAAAATATAAAGGCAAATAACACAGAAAACATTGTGGTGGGGTGTATAAGCAAGGACCTTTAAAACCTATAATTAGTTTTGCGAAGTAGTGCTTATTCTGTTATTACAGGATTTACTGTATTAAAATAAAAACCCTTGAAGAATCACATAGCCCTCCCACCCGGGCTTTAAGTAATATTAAACAGCCCTAACTCCTATATAATATAAATAAATAAGAAAAATAGAAGAATAAGGTATAAACTCCTGAGCCTGGTTATAAATACATATTTAATCTGAGCTCTATAAGAGAAAGCAGAGAGTCCTATATAAACACAGGAATAGCAGGACTGGTTTCAAGGGCGATAAAGAGTAAATACAGAGATGCGGTCTAGTTATAAGTATATGCCTAATCTAAGCTCCATAAGAGAGCAGAGAGTCTTATATAAATATAAGAATAGCAGGACTGGCTTCGAGAGCAGCAAGAAGATAATATATGGGATAGAGATAATAGACAGAGAAAAGAAAGAAGAGGATAAGGACAAGACAGAAAAAAACAGAAAGACGCGGGCGGAAAGACGCGTCCCGTGACTATAGCCTTGGGCGTATTACTTACTATATCCATAATACAATTATACAAGTAAACAAGTCTTTTAGAATACCTATACTAATTACCCTGTTTTCAGCTAGACTGGCTAATACTTGAGTGGTTACTAGTTAATAAAACTCCTTACTAATCATCAATATTCAGAGAAGGTAATTGGTAGATAGGACCAAATCTCTGTTAGGGGGTTGATACCCATTTGCGGATCTGACTAAACTCTAGTATAAGAGATTTGGCAGTGCTAGAATTCGAGCTTTCCTTCTAAACTCTAAAATTGACTTGTTCAAAATTAATGATTATTACTTACTGTTTGCTCCTGCCAGGCTAGTCTACTAATATAAATTTGGCTAAATTCTGATCATCATATTTAATGCTATAAAGTATTAAGGTTTCCATAGCATCCAGAAGGCTATTATATAGCTCGTTCTCGTTTATATGAGATTTGCTGTGTGCGATGTCCTACAGATCTTGTCCAGTAACGGCTGAAAGGACAAGTGCTGGGGATCCATCATATACCGCCTCACCATAGAAATAAGGGGTAATAACACCCTGAATTGGCCTTAGAAGCTCGTAGGCTTTCTTTTCTGTGGCGTATTCTGATTCCCAATCCGGTTTCGGTCTTTTGAGAATAACAGCTTCGGGTAGAAACCATTCTGGCCAGCGTGCTTTGATCCAGGGGCAAAGAAAGCCGATAGTATATTGCATAAGAGTCAAGAAGAAGGGCTGGATAAGCTCCAAGTGACACACATTCGGCTTCCGTGCATCTATCCATGTGGCACTTTTCGCAAAAACGAGGCGACTTCCTAGACGGAAGCTCTGCGCAAGTCAGTAACAATCTTACTAACCGTCGCTTAACTATTAGCGAACTTACTAAAGGCAGCTGGCTATTGGTTTTGAAGCCCATGGTTTGAGCAGGAAGTTTTCAAGGGTTAAAGCAGAGCGGGTAAGAAGACGGATAATGGAAATACCGAAGAGGAGATAGTAGGAAAGAAGATAGATGGTCACAAGGAATGTAACAGAAAAAATAAGATGGTGTCATGTGATATACCAAAAAGATGTACAATTTAGAAATATAACCGAAATTTGTCTACCCGCTATGCAGCCAAGACAGAACTCTTAGTTACATCGGCCAGCCTGCTGTAAGCCACTGATCAGGATTAGCAAAGACAGAATCCTGTGTCACTTCCTGCGACTGTTCTGTCTCTAGACGCCCATACCCAGCGACCGTGTCTCCTATTTCGCTGATCCATAACAAATTCCCGTTCCCAACCATGTGGATTTCTCAGGCTATAATTACCAGGTGCGTACTCCTATATAGGCCTTCCTGACCAGCCCTCGTACTCTCGGAGTACATTGTTAATCTTAAAATATTTAGCTGTCCTTTCTCCTTGATTCCCCGGGAAGACAGTTGCTGATAATCGTATCCAGCCTCTCCAAGCCAGTCGATATAACGCGTATTGGACCGTAGATTAACCAGGTACTGCTGTTTGTAACAAAGGTATAATACAATAATCAATGGCACATTCAAAGCTCAGAATCTCATTCTTGTCTTGAGCTTTGAAATGCACGATAAGAAGATTAACCCCATCAAAAACAAACACTTGTGGGCAGTTGTAGTGATAAGCATACCTCAGTTCAGAGTTAGTAGGCTTCTGAATTTGTGAGAAAGGGCTAAATATAATTTTTTTTACATATCCTCTCATCTCCCGATGGAGATGTTTTGTTCCAGAGTCTAAACGTTGGTGCTTGTCCTATTGAAGTCGATCGATTACACCAGGTTTTTTGAACTCTCCTACCATAGTAGCCCTTTCGTATAATGGGTTCTCTCCTGGCCATGTTAATTGGTAGTCGACAGTCACAGTTAAGTCGGTTACTCCTGTCGGGCCTGTTTTCGATCTCGGCAACAGGAAAGGCTGTTCAGAAAATGCCAGGCGGAATGGAAGCTCGATCTGTTGGTAGAAAATTCTTTCTACGTCACCCTCACTAGTGATTACCTCTGAACGAGGGATGTTAAGGGGATGTACCAAGATCTGACTGCCAATATCATTAACAGACGAGTGGTGTCGCTGAACAAGGTCAAAACGGGGTCCGAGGAAATTGTCTATAGATTCAATAGTCGGCGGGCAGTGGTTCACTCTTTCCAGATCGAAAACGGCTAGAGCGTCAGCCTATACTTTGCGTGATGTCTGCTGCCTCTCATTGTTTTCTGATCGGAAGAAATAAGCGGTGGAGAAAGAATGAAGAAGATTCCAAACAGTAGAAGTCATTTTGTAGAAGTAAGATAAAATAGATAGAAGTCTGACAAAGCCAGCGTATGATATGAGATCAAGTATAAAATTGTATTTAAATAAGAATCTATAAATTATAAGCTCTTTATATATATACTCTATCCCTTTCGATGTTTAAGAGTAGTATCTCGGTTAGTATTATCCTGCTATATACTACATAAGCAATACTACTCACTGTGCTACTGTATACCAATCGACTTCTCTTGTATCTTATAATACTGTATACCTCTCTTTAAGTATATTGATAGTATTTGTCATTAATTCTCATATATATTACACAAGTATTAACATGATATAATCTTCTAATTTATCTTATTTTCTCTTTATGATAATCTTGAAGCTATGAGTTTACTATATTCACATGATAATATCAGAATATCAAGGCGGTGCTTTAATCTATTTACAGACGACCCTGTATGTATGCAGTAGGATAATGTGCAGACGGATAAAGTATATACATAGTCAAAGTCTAGACTAAACCTTTGTTTCCTGTACCCTGCTGTGGGCCACAGGTCCGACTAATGGCTGACTCGCTGCCTGTAAGCATTCATGGTCAGGCTGTAATCATTGCTGGTCGTCTCTGTGAGACCATGAGGACTCGCTGCCTATAAGCATGAACAGTCAGTAATGACTTTACAATTCTTAACGGATCTTTCTATAAAATAAATTTCTTTAATTGTAGTTTAAGGGCAGAGAAAACAGGGAAAATATAAGACTGATACAAATCTAGTAAAAGGCTTAAGTATTAAACCGCGGATACATCAAGTAGTCCTTGCCGGATGGAGTTACCTAATGTAATTCCGGAGTAGGTATCCGTACCTATCCTTCCTATCACAAGTACCTAGAAGTTAACTACTGGTTGTTAGCCTTTGTAAGCAGCAGAGCGGAAGAATAAAGATCGGGTAACGGAAGAGGACAACGGCTGCTTCTAATATTTCTGATTACTCAATGTCGTGATCTCTGGCCATTATACAGTACAGCTTGACGGACATCGCAATACTTTATATCTGCTCTTATATCGCTTGAGGGCCAAAGTCCTAAAACGAATTCTACACTTATCCCCAGTGGAGGATTAATTTGCTTTATTATATTTTACCTCGATTACTAGAGGACCTCGTACATTGGAATTTGTAAGATGTTCACACTTTTATTCAGAAGTTAAAGCAGACATATTTACCTTTATCAGAAGACTCTAGTAATACACGTTGCTGTTCGGCCTTTCTTCCAGACATGAGCGCAGACATTTGGTTCAGAGGCTGGAAGTCGAAAGATGGCCAGAAGCTAGCTGATATACAAATTATGCGGCTTATTACTCTCACGAATCAATGGCAACACAATGAAACAACTGATATGTTGAGCGTTTGGGCCTCAGACCCTTCTACTGAGTTCTGGGGGTTTCAACCTTCCCACTCTGAGAGCGCCTGGGTACGAGAATGTTTACAGGTCAAATTACCAGCGTTGGGATACTATAAGATGACTGAGGACTATAAGAGGATTTCTGCACGCCGTCGAGTCCTCCTGATCATTCTCTATGATATCATCGAAAGAGAAATATTGCGACTGCAAGCATGTTTCTCTGCCCAGCCTAACAAGTTTCTTACTACAGCGATCAGAAATATTTTGGAACAGGCCTATCCCGGATATAACAACAAGCTGTTATATGATCAATGCATCAGATGTCATCGCTATGGACAGAAGTATTCACTACTGGCCAGGAAGGAATTAGTATTAGTACCTCTTCAAGGTGCTACGTCTTAGTCAGTCTTCATTCTTACAAGTTGTATTATGAGCTAACTTCTTCAAGTTTTGAGAGACCCATGATAGGGAATATTGAGATGGAGGCTCTTGTTGCATTTTCTAAAGCAACTTACGACAAAAGCTATCAAGAGCAACTGCAGAAGACATTTGAATGTATCCTGAATACATGTCCTTTGGAACAAAAGAGCACATATGATATCTGGCTTCCTTCGATTTCGACGCGAAAACGTTATCGGAACAAGGCCAAAAGAATCCAGGATACACTGAATCCTGCATCGACCCAAACAACCCGTGTTCAAAACAAGGTTCTGGGGATTGATTTCGAGTCCCGACCTAGCTCTATACCGCCGCGAACAATTTCTAAACCCCAGATCGCTGATAAAATACGGACACAAAAGGGCTCTGAAAAGATGCTTGGTTCGCCATTCAATGCGCGAGATACGGCCGATGTACAGTCAAGAGAGATCCGACATCTCGTTGGTTATTTTGAACCTTGCTTTAACCCGTCTCTCTCCTTGGAAAATCTTCCTGATATGCCCCAGACTGTTGACCAACTTTGCTGGTCAAACACGGATTCGTGTTTCAACCCCTCAGCCTCCATTGAGAGCCTGCCAGTGACTCTTGAGCAGTGTGGTATGCGTGATGTGCAACTGGAGGAACGTCAATGCTTCAATAGCTTTAATCCGTCAGGCTATTTGGAGAAATTACCTCAGATACCTCATGACTCCAATACTTTCAAGAACACGGAACCAGCAGTTAATTATCCTTGTTCAGGCTTGCCTGTCTCTGTGGAAAACCCGCCAGGAATTTTTCAGCAGAATATGCGACCGGATGACCCCTCAGTCAATTACTTCAATCCGTCTAGCTATTTAGAAATCCTGCCTCAGATACCTGAAAACCCCAATGTTGTTGACAGCACTATGAACCCTTGTGCCTTCTCAGAAAGCCTTCCGGTGATATCTCAGAAGTCTATTCCAAGACTGTTAAGCATGGATCCTTCCAAACCTCACCATGATGCAGCCTATCAACAACCTAACACTGTCTTTGACTGCGCGATGACCGGCATAAACTTTTTCCCGCTTCATCAATACTCTGCGCCCGAAAATTGACTACAGATTTAAGAAATACACTGGCGTAAAGGTGGTATCTTCAATCATGCAGTCAATTTATTTTAGTGGTTTTCCCACAAAAAGGCAGATCAGGCCCGCTGATAGATGCACAGTCCCTTCATGGTATAAATAGGAACCAGGGCGTAGGTTCTTGTATGGCGTAAATATCGTGTTACAGCTGTCTTCGTTTTTGGTAGGGATGGAAATTATTGGGTCCCCCTGAAAAGTTTCAAGGGGTATAATACACTAAAGTTCGAAAACGGCGCCCAGGTGTTTTCCTCTTTTCCCCTTTCTTTGCCGTGTGCCAAGGATGCACTAGTCCTGGTAAGGAAAGGCGCATAATAAAAGTCATTACCCGTTGAATGATGCATACGGTACCAGACCGTATGAAAACGATCCAGTGTATCATTTTATTACGTCATCCCCAGTGGCTGTGGCGTTCTGGTGGATGACTATCCGCCACCGATTGAAGTGGCTAGAAACTTCTAGACCATGGAAATCAATATAAGGCTCATCTATCCCAGGCTTTCGTTCTAAGTAGAGAATTGAAAATATGAGAAGACAAGATTGTGTAATTAAAGACAAACTCAACCGGAAGATACACGAAATCCAATAATCAGAACGCGACTGTTCCCATACCCAAGAACCAGTGTATCATGTTTAATATTATGACAACTAGGTCCACGAAAATCAGGAGGCAGCCATAGTACCTTTTTATTTCCTAAATACACCCAGGAACTCTCAACCGATATCTGAGAGCCTTGTTTGTGCTCTATATGGGTATTACCTGACCGCACGGACTGAACCGAGATAGAATAGCCCTCGAGGCTTCGCAGCTCTACACCGGTCTGGGCATCCTAGAGCTTGATAGTGCTATTATAGGACCCGGATATAATTTTCTGGCTGTCCGGTGAGAAGGCCACTGAGTTAACTGCATCAGAATGGCCCTCAAGATTTCGCAGCTCTATACCGGTCTGGGCATCCCAGAGCTTGATAGTGCTATTATTAGACCTGGACACGATTCTCTGGCCGTCTGGTGAGAAGGGCCGGAAGAAGAACTCCAACCAACGTGTTAGACTAGATGATACCACGATCGTGGTTTCTGTGAATGATCGTAAACATCGCGACCTCACTAAATAATTTGAATATACTGATGTCGATTGGACCGCTATAGAGAAGCAACTTCTGTTGTGAAGGACGCTTTTCCATGCGGGGAAGGAGTTAAGACTTTCTATAACTATTAACTACTTAGAAAACAGCAACCCATCTCCTTCTTGAACAGATAAAAGAGGGCCAACATTGATAACGGCAAGAATACTAGAGGAACAGGAAGCCTAAATAAAAGCGGAACACTCTTTTGGGTAACCTGCTGCCTGGCGGGACGTATATAAAGTAATACGTTGCCCTGGTCGACCGTGCCACTATAATAGCCAGTTCTGCTGGTTAGATCTGGTATGGAAAAAGCATTATAAACTCTTGTTATATTATCTGAGAAGTCTTGTTCAGCACATGGAGGACGGAAATGTCCTAGAAACCCATGATGATATTCTATATGAGGTTCGGGAAAGGTTGTATGCAGAGGACGAAAAGTAGTGTGAAAAGGGGCAGAAATCAATTAACCCAGCGAATGGATTAATCCCTCCTATTAACATTTATCTCCTGCCGGCATAATCATCTTAGGTATTAATAATTCTAACAGGTAATATTGATGGTCATATGTTGAGGTCCAATCAGGCTGAGAAAATCAACATCCCCGGACTTTTTAAAGTAGTAGTGGACAACTACACTGACTAGCAGCTAACCCGAGTGGACACTGAACTTTTTAAAGATAATATTAAAAAGGCGCGTGATATTATATTGGAAAATTGCCTCGACCTTTTACAGGTTTATTACGAGGTTAAGCCCGAGTTTTATGTTGAACGGGGTGTGAAGATAGGAGTTGCCCGCAGGTTTGTGCATGATATCAGTCTGTGGGTGAAGACTTATACACATAAGGATAGCAACAACAGCGTTAATTAATCTATAGCGGGAGAGATATATATATATAATGTTATTGGTTCTGTGATACACCTTCTGTTGAAACCTTTTTCCCCCTCGTAGTAACAAGCTTATTTCTAGACCCTGGCGCCAAGGCGCTAATAAGCAACAGGTTTATATTTTTAGATCCTTATGATGTCACGAAAGGCACGCCCTTATTTTTGTTCTGGTATTATTTTATACTGTATCTGAGACACTGTAATCGACATATAATGGCAGACAGAACTTAATAGAAGGTTCTTACTGCCAGGCGGTAAAAGTTCTAGCCAGGCAAGCTAGTAAGAGTAGAAGCTTGCTTAGTCTCCTGTATTCCTCTCCTGTATCTTGTAGTTAGGGCTGCAGGAGGAATAGAGATTGCTAGTCAAGGTTTAACAGCTTAGGCTTATTAATATTATATTATTACTTATTCCTTAAACCCCGCTCTGCTTATCATTATACACAACCTCGTGTTATTAACCTATCCTGGGCATCAGGCGGGTGTGGGCTAACACCTTGCGGCATTATAGGTCTATTAGATCTATTCCTTCTCTAAAGTATAACAGATGGCCTCTTTAACTTTAATAATAGAAACTGTTAATCCTATGTAATTGAGCCACGGGACAAAGACTCGTAGAATACTCTACCAACACCGGGAAACTTCGGTCGGACCCCTGGTACAGTGTGTTTGATAAGCCCTACTCTTACTCCAGACCTTACTTCCTGCCAAATATAATCTGATAACCTTAGGTTTCTTCCGTTTGATAAGTAGAAGAGAAAGAGGGATAATAACTATAATAAGCCAGGAGAGCAAGACCTGCTTCACTATATAATTGGCTGGAAATTAAAGATCAACCGGACAACCGAAGCCAAGGAGACTAAACAGGACTTGGTTGTAGCTCTGAGTGAATATTAAGAGAAGTACCTGAAATAAAAGATTAACAGGTTGATACACACTAAGAAATATAACCGGCGAGTCCGGTTCGAAGACTCGGAGATTATAGTATTAATAAACCACTATAATAAGGGCCCCCTTAAAAAGCACTCTGATGACACTAACTTGAATATTAATTAGAGACTAGTAAAGATAAAGCTTTGTAAGTAAAGTAATCTGGTCTGCCAGGGCAGGACACCTCAGATTACCATTACTGTTAAATATATAAAAGACAATGACGCGGCTAAAACATACAATAAATAAGGCTCTTCAACTACCAAAAGGATGCTTACTAAACAAGATACAGTTATTAGTGCTGAAGAAGAGTTAAATCAGCCCTTATCCTAAAAATATATGTATAAACTTATGTGATGTTCTGTAACTTCATATAATAACTTTAATAAATAATACTAGCAGGACCCGAAGGGTCGAAAACATTACAGACTACGAAAACCCCACCTTATAAAACTTATCTCTTATACAGATATAAGGGGGACACTCGTCAGTTATAACGATGTCCCAGAAAGTATTCGATAAGCTCTTTATATGGCGGCTTAGTAGAAACTTGAGCGAAGCTTGAATAAAATAAATAATCAGCTTGCTTTAGAGACTCCATATCTAATTAATATTAATCTCTTGGCTCCCTCCGGTATGTGTAAGCCTGCTATGCCTCTGTCACCCCCGAAACCTGCAACCTTAAATAAGAGAGTCAAGATTTCTGGGCCTCGAGATAATACTGTCAGGGCATACTGTGGATGGCACGAACTGTAAGTAACTAATGAGAAGCGGAAGGCCGACTGGTGTAAGGTATGTGAGATAACTCTATCTAATAGCCTTGACCTCAACTTAATAGAAGAAGATTAAGAGCATGCGTAGTTCCTGATTAAACAGGATATAACAAAAGGGACTGCCCGGCAATTTATCCGCGACATTCATGAATAGCTTAAATATATAAAAAAGCTCTTACTAGAGCAATATAGTCAAGATCCCTCTAATTCGGATAACTGAATATTCTTTTATTACTAAGCAGGATTATTTCTGTCTTACCTAATGAATAATAAGTATTTAGGGCTGCATTATTACTATGCTGGCCGTACAACATAATCTAATTTTTATTTGGCTTATTACATTATTTTTGTTTAATACTCACATTTTACAAAGTTATCTCCACGTTTATAATTTGGCCCGTCAGCGATATACTTTAAATAAAAATCTACTTTTATTTAACCATGAACCTCCTTATATTAGAATATTGTTAATCTGACACACTGTTGACTAGCCTAATAATAAGTCTTGTGGTTTTATATTATCAGCCAATAGATTTTATGCAAGTCAGGCATAAAGTACTAAGAGTAAATAATGCAATGTACTAGTCCGACCTGTAAGTTTATCATGCGGATAGAAAGTGCAGCTATGGACAGGATACAGTAAGTATAGAAATTAGTCCGGTAGGTCCTCTAAAAATCCTCTCTATACTATGATGCTGGCTCCATCAAAGCGGTATCACGTAATACTACCGGCTGTGCTTTAAAAAAGATACAAGATAAATAGTAGTCTGCAGAGTTAGCCATTTATGATGTTTGAGCGCTCGAACCTATTAAGATAAAACAGGGTCATGTAAAGTATCTCTAGCGAGCAACAGTATTATAAGCTTACTTAACTTTTTATTCTTAAAAGCTAGATTGCCAAATCAGCCCTTTTATTTAAGTCAAAAAGAACCACCTCCAAGATATTATAATACCCTAGTTCTTCTGAAAGCAGTGGCTAAAAATATACGACAGATATGCCAATACATACAGAGAGCCCTTGCAGGTTAGGTTTACATGATTATTATTCTTTGACTCTTTCCCAGCGCCACTCCCACAGACTAATCCCTATTAGGGTTGGTCTGGTATTGCAAGTAATTTACAGACAGTATGTGGCCGCCTCCTGTATCGTAAGTACACCAACCACTTGTCAGTATTCGCTGCGATTATGGACTGCCGTCAGATAATAAAAGCTCCGGCCCATATATCAAGCTAGATTTATTCTCTATGGATCTAGGAACAGGGCAAGCCGTAGAAATTCCATAAAAGACGTGCATAAACTATAAAAAGGATGTATATTATAATTCTCTGATATGGCTTCAGTATGGACTACCTTTGGCACACTGTAACATTGCCCATGGCTAGGCGACTGATAGTTAGAGTGCTCAGCCTTACTTACATATATCACTGTAATCCCTCCTTTTAGGCTCATGAACATCACTTTGCATCTTTCTCCTATAATCACCACTCTTCTATATTTTAATTTGCTAATCCCAGCATATCTAGAGCTGGAAGGCGTGATATAGCTTTTTGCTCCCTGTTTCTTTTTAGTTAACAATATCTTCCTTGACGCAAAATGACTACATAATCGCGTGGATATACGCCTTGCTGCTGGAGCTTGCGGCCGCTTGTGTTATACTGAATAAAACCTATAATTCACTGCCTAAAACCTCCTCTGATCCGAATGTCTACGAGCTTGGTAAACTGAACGGCCATTATATTGTTATTGCCTGCCTACCGGCTGGTGTTTATAGAATAGTCTCTGCTGTATCTGTGGTATCTTATATATATATCACCTTTCCTCGGCTTCAATATGCGCTAATAGTGGGAATTGGAGGCGGAGTTCTAAATACAGATAATAATATTTAACTAGGCGATATAGTAATTAGCAAACTAATTAGAATATATAGTGGGGTGGTCTAATATGATTATGGCAAGGCAGTCCAGGGCGGGATATTTAAGCCAACTGGGACCTTGAATAAACCCCTACCGATGCTCCTAATACACATAAGTCAACTAGAAGCAAAAGAAATAACTGATGGCAGAGATACAGTATCGAAAATCATGTAGGATATTCTAGAATAAAATCCCTATATAAGTAACAGGTTTTGGCCTCCAGAGCAGCAAATAGATCTTCTTTTTTACTCTGATTATTACTATGCCAATAAGAAAGAGAACTGCGAAAAGTATAATAAAAAAAAATTAGTTCAGCGCTAATTCTGTGGTGTTAGGGCACTATATATTTATTATAGATTGATTATATCCGGAGATCAGGTAATAAAGGACTCAGAAACACGAGACTGTCTCACCTAATAGTATAGGATACTTTATTTTAAGATAGAGGCTACAGGCCTTATAGACAAGCTTCTAACCCTGGTAATCTAAAAGATATACAACTACTGCAACTCTTATAAGCAGAAAGAGTAGCAGGGGTATGCAGCATTAACAGCCGCTGCCTTTGCTAAATCATTAATATTAATTATACCTATGTATTATACAGAGGCCGGCTTGCCAAACCAGAAAATATGGCACTGGATGGTTCTATTCGCAAGAAATTCAAAATTTATTAGCCGCCAGCATGAAGTCTCAGAGCTAAAAAAGATGATAATAACACAAGATATATATTTACAGATTATAATCACTGGATTAGAAAGAGTTGGGAAGATATAAGTCGCTCTAAAGATAGTATACTATATATAATATCATAATAAGGAGTACTCTATTTTCTGGGTCCTATATACCAGTCATACGATAATTAAGCAGGCATTTCTTAATATTATACAGACCCTCGGGATTCCAGATATAAAACTTAGTAAGGCTAAAAAACACATTAAAACATATCTCAGCTCCGAGTGTGCAGGCAGATAGCTTCTGATTTTTGATAATATAGATAATACAGAGATATAATTAATAGGTGATAAAGCAGGTCTAGCCCTTGAGGAGTTTCTCCCTAGAAATATATAAGGCCGTATTTTATTCACTTTATGTAATCTAGAACTTGCAGTAGATCTGACTTTCTTAACTATTATTACTATTCCTGATATTAATAAAAAAACTGCGCTAGGAATCTTACAGATATTATTAGTACAGAAGAAACTATTTAATAATTATTTAAAAATAATTAGTCTACTTAAACAACTGGCATATCTTCTTTTAGCAATTATGCAGGCATCAGTATATATTAATAAAAAGTAGCTTAGTCTGTTTATATACTCAAAACTATTAAAGGAGACAGAACAAGATGTAATTGAGCTCTTTAATAAAGACTTTTGGGATCTAAGGTGTTATAAAGAAATTTAGAATCCGGTTATAACCACTTAGTTAATATTATTTAATTAAATTCAGTAACAAAATGAATTGGCAGCAAATTATCTATCTTTTATGGCCTGTATTAATCTACAGAAGATTCCCCAGTCTTTCTTATTATAAGCTGCCAAAAAGTCAATACTAGATGCTCTAGGACTGTTAAATGTATATTTATTTATCAGCATTTATAATATGGACATAAGCATACACAGACTCGTGCATATTATAATGCGAAATTAGCTGAGAAAAAATGGGCTGCTTAGTTATTGGGTTCACAGGGTGGCGGATTGAATGGAAATAGTTTTTCCTGATAATAACTATACTAATCAAGTATTATGGCGAGACTATCTTCCTTATGCCCTGACTGTTGTTCATAAGAATAAGTTTAAAGTGTTTTAAATAAATTATACTAGTTTGACTGGCAGGATTGCAAATTATCTTACTAGTGATGGATAATTTAAAGAGGCGGAGGTACTCTACGCTTAGCTAATATAGATAAAACAGAAGAAAAATGGCGCCAGGCATCCTTTTACCCTGACCAGCATGGCAAACCTAGCTTTAACCTACCAGAATCAAGGACAATGGAATAAAGCAGAGCAGCTGGAGGTGCAGGTTATAAAGATATCTAAGACAGTGCTGGGTGCTAAACATCCCTCCACCCTGACTAGTATGGCGAACCTATCTTTAATCTTTTAGAATCAGGGATAATGAAATAAAACAGAGCAGCTGTTTATGCAGGTTATAAAAATAAGGAAAACAGTATTAGATACTGAGCATCCTGACACCCTGACTAGCATGGCAAACCTAGCTTTAACCTATTAGAATCAGGAACAATGGAATAAAGCAGAGCAGCTAGAGGTACAGGTTATAAAGACATCTAAGACAGTGTTAGATACTGAACATCCTGATACCCTGACTAGTATGGCGAATCTAGCTTTAACTTACCAGAATCAGAGATGATGGAATAAAGCAGAGCAGCTAGAGGTGCAGGTTATAGAGATATCCAAGACAGTGCTAGGTGCTGAACATCCCTCTACCCTAATTAGTATGGCGAACCTAGTTTTAACCTACCGGAATCAAGGACGATGGAATGAAGTAGAGCAGCTGGAGATACAGGTTATGGAGATATCTAAGATAGTGCTAGGTGCTGAATATCCCTCTACCCTGACCAGCATAACGAATCTATCTTTAATCTTTTGGAATCAGGGATAATGGAATAAAGCAGAGCAGCTGTTTATGTAGATTATAGAAACAAGGAAGACAGTGCTGGGTGCTGAGCATCCTAATATCTTGACTAGCATGGTGAACCTAGCTTTAACCTACCGGAATCAGGGATGATGGAATAAAGCAGAGCAGCTAAAGATACAGGTTATAGAAATATCTAAGCTAGTGCTAGATGCTGAATATCCCTTTACCCTAATCAGCATGGCGAACCTAGCTTTAATCTTTTGGAATCAGGGATGATGGAATAAAGCAGAGCAGCTGTTTATACAGGTTATAGAGATATCTAAGATAGTGCTAGGTGCTGAACATTCTGATACCCTGACCAGCATGGCGAACCTAGCTTTAATCTACCGGAATTAGGGACGATGGAATAAAGTAGAGCAGCTAGAGGTGCAGGTTATGGAGATATCCAAGACAGTGCTAGGTGCTGAATATTCTGACACCCTGACTAGCATGGCGAACCTAGCTTTAACCTACCGGAATTAGGGATGATGGAATAAAGCAGAGCAGCTAGAGGTATAGGTTATGGAGACATCCAAGACAGTGCTGGGTGCTGAATATCCTTTTATTCTGACTAGTATGGCGAACCTAGCTTTAACCTTTTAGAATCAGGGATGATAGAATAAAGCAGAGCAGCTGTTTATACAGGTTATAGAGATAAGGAAGACAGTGCTGGGTGCTGAGTATCCTGATACCCTGGCCAGTATAGTGAACCTAGCTTTAACCTACCAGAATCAGGAACAATGGAATAAAGTAGAGCAGCTGTTTATGCAGGTTATAAAAACATCTAAAATAGTACTAGGTGCTGAATATCCTGATACCCTAACTAGTATAGCAAACCTAGCTTTAACCTTTTAGAATCAGGGATGATAGAATAAAACAGAGCAGCTGTTTATACAGGTCATGGAGACATCCAAAACAGTGCTAGGTGCTAAGCATCCTGACACCCTGACTAGTATAGCAAACCTGGCCTGTATTTAGAAATATCAGGGCAAGTACCAGGCTTTATTAATACTAATAGAGAAATATTTTAAATTATATACCAAAATATTAGGGCCTGATTATCTAAAGACCAAATCCTGCTCTGACACTCTCTTAAATTAAAAAGATGAGCATAATTTATCCCAAAGCCAACAGCTACATTCAGAAACTACTTAAATTAGATACTTGCTATATTCACAGAGAGTATTACTGGGCCTTTATACTTCAGTTATAATAGCCTAGTAATACTCGCTTAGGGGTTTACCTATTAGAAACTACCTTCTTATTATGGCTCCCAGAACACCCTCACCCTCTATAGACAGCCAGGACTTGCACACAGTGGATTAAAGAGGATATATTGCTGGTCGGACTATTATTCCGGGCCGCCCAGTGTATGATCATGGGCTAGATTCACATACATTATCCGTATCTATTCTAACTGATCCTCAACTGATAAAATCAGCTATAATACTGAGATTGGTTCTGTGGCCGCGGAACTGACTAAGCAATTACTTCACCATCTTGCTCAACCAATTGATCAATCGATCAATATTGATCGTACGATTATAGAGCTTGAATCGTATGATCAAGCCCCTAGAATTGCATCTTTGAAGCCCCTGAAATTGCATAAATATGGCTTCTTTTTGCAGTAGATTAGAATGAATCAAGACCTTCAATCATTTCATATGATCATATAAGCTCGGCGTATTAATCAGCTCTTTGCCAAGACTATTTCTGCCACAGGTTTGTGGTAAATATGCACGTGACAACATGTTACTAGATTTACATATTTACCATACCATACATGCCTTACAGAGTCTTCGGTATTCTTATGTTCTATACAGCACTTGTGATTACCACAGATACGGACTAACACTAATATGTATTAGGTTACGGGAGTGGCGCTGAGAAAGAGTTAAAGAGTTGTAACTTTTTAAAACTTAACCAACAAGGCGCTGTAATGATTACTTATATTAGATGTAATAATATTATCAGCAGTAAGCGAGTTGATATCTGCCGCAATAAAATTTATAATCCTGGTGACAGAGTAAACTCTAATATTATATAGTGATATAATATTTGCGCTCCTTGCAATCTACTTATTCCAGAGTCTTAATAAGGCGCCGGTTCATAACTCCTAGCTAAGAGCTGATAATGATATAGATTAAAATAATATTACAGAAGTAACGACGGCTCTCAAGGATTGCTATACAGTAGTAACCCGGAGGTATAATCTGTAATAAAAGATGGCACGCTGTTTATTCTGTTGTTATTGTGAATACAGGCGATATTATTGTTTACTTTGTTCTGTGTAGGAGGATTTGCCGGATAAGCCTGCACTTTTTAGCTCAGCCGCACGATAATAACAGATAGATTGTTTTACTCTGGTAATAGGCTATCTCTGGATTATATAAGGTATTTATAATATTAAAGATAAGGAATACGCGCGTCTGCCATCTCTGCTTTGCTAGTAATTGTATTCTAGGCTCACGGCTATACAGGCACTATATTAAATTACTATTTTTTAGAACCTTATAGGCTGCTGGTAATATCTCCTCTAAAGCTAACCATAACCTGCCCTAACATTAGTTCTTGTTTAAGATAATAACAAGGACTTATAAAGGTTTATCTTCCACTGTTTAGGCGTCTGCATTTATTAGGTCAGCTTTATAAAATAATACACTTAGAAACTCACTTCTCTCTCACAGTATAAAGCTGTCTAGTATCACTTATATATTACTTTAAACCTATAAAAGTTTGCGCCAGCAGGTGCCTGTTTTATGACTGGTAAATAAATGCCCCTTGGACGGTAAGGGAGGTCCGGAATAGAGTTACTTATATTCCGATCCCTTGGATAACATATTGATGAAATAACTAATAATCATATAATAAAACATATTAGGATAAATATAAATCCGCCCCAAAGAAAAACTTATACTAGCTAGAAACTAAATAACTCTAGTTATATAATAAGGCCTTCCTTCTATTTATTCCTTGAACTCTTCAATCATTACACCGGAGTGTTGGAAGTGGGCTTCGGCGCTGGCTTTCTTTGCGCTAACAGCATCCACGCATGCCTGCAAGAAATTATTAAAGCCCTAGTCAGGCTCGGCTTCGTACCATTTCCAGTTGCGCTTGATGTAGCCCTTTAGTTCCGAGAAGAATTCTTTAATAGGGTTCAGGTCAGATGAATATAGTGGCAGGTATAATAATTTTACTCCAGCTTTAGAACACATTTCCTTCATCCTATCGGAATAGTAGAAAGATATATTATCTATAACCAGGACTGACTTTGGTTCGGGCTATCTCCCACAGTGTTATAGAAGCTGCTTGATAAAATCCTTAAAAACAACAGTATCTGTCAAGCCTGCAAAAACACGAGAGAGGATTATGCCGTCTTGGGCATAGACGGGTAATATTTAGTAGTGTTAGCCTTGATGAAACTTTGCTACTTAAATAGGTCTCACTCCTAGAGGAGACCAACCAGTCCTCCTAAACCCTATCCGTTTATCACATCCAGACTCATCAACAAAGACTAGTTAATATGATTGGTATTCAGATATACTCAAGTTCAAAACCGGCGCCCTGGTCGTTTATTCTTTTTCCTTTCTTTGCTATGTGCCAAGGGCGCGCTAGTCCTGGTAAGGAAAGGCTCATATTAACAGTCACTACTTGTTGAATGGTACATACGGTACCGCACCGTATAGAAACGATCGAGTGTGTTAACTAAGTTAGTTATTAACTAACTAACTAACTAGTTAACGTATTTCCCGGGCAAGCAGCGCACCCGACCGAGCGACGCAGCTGGTATTCCATATAAAATGGCACTTTTTGACCCTTGAAGATCTTCACACATAAAGCTCTAAATAAGCTGATATCTTATATATAGATTCTTATTCTATATATAAGTATCACGTAGGATTTTTAAAAAGATTTATTTAGCCAATCGCTCAAATACATAAAATACTGTCGTAATTCTGGTGTTTTTTGAAAGATTGATATTGTAGATTAAATAGTTGAAGACACATTTTGAAAGTTTATATATATATAATAGAAATTATAACTATTCTTTTACTCTGCATAGTATATTGCTATCATGCTCTATTGTGGAGATCTCTAGGGGTCAAACAGTGCCATTTAATATGGGATACAGAGGTGCGTCGCTCGGTCGGGTGCGCCGCTCGCCCGGGAAATACGTTAATCCTTGCACAGTGCATTACGTCATCTCCAGTGGTTGTGGCGTTCTAGTGGATGGTTATCCGCCACCAATTGAAGTGGCTAGAATCTTCTAGACTTGTGTAAATCAAAATATAAGGCTTAGCGATTCCAGGCCCTCTTTTTACATAGAGATTAGAAATATAAGGAGATTGGATTGTGTTATTAAAAACAGATTCAATCGGAAGGTGCACGAAATCTAATAATAAGAATATGACCGGTCGGATACCCAAGGGCAAGTATATTATGTTTGGTAGTATGATATCTATGTCCACGAAATTCAGGAGGAAGCTATATTATGTTTTTACCTCTCTAATAGACCCAGGAGTTCTCAACTGATATCTGGGAGCCTTGGTTGTGCTCTATATGGGTATCACCTGAGGCCACTGAATCAACCCAATGAGAATGGCCCTCGAGGGTTCGCAGCTCCGCCCCGGTCTGGGCATCCCAGAGCTTGATGGTGTTATCGACCGATCCGGACATGATCCTCCGGCCGTCCGGTGAGAAGGCCACGGCCGGAGGAAAGGGCACTGACCAAACTGAGCCAGAATGGCCCTCGAGGGTTCGCAGCTCCGCACCGGTCTGGGCATCCCAGAGCTTAATGGTGTTATTGCCTGATCCGGACATGATCCTCTAGCTGTCTGGTGAGAAGGCCACTGACTAAACCAAGCCAGAATGGCCCTTAAGGATTCGCAGCTTTGTACTGGTCTGGGCATCCTAGAGTTTGATAGTATAATTACCAGATTCTGATATAATCCTCTGGCCGTCCGGTGAGAAGGCCACTAAGTTAACCTAATTAGAATGGCCCTCTAGGGTTTGCAGCTCCGCGCCGGTCTGGGCATCCCAGAGTTTGATAGTTTTATTATCAGATCCTGATATAATCCTCTGGCTGTCTGGTGAGAAGGCCACTGAGTTAACCTAATTAGAATGGCCCTTGAGAGTTTATAGCTCCGCACTCTATGATTTTTATACTTGCGGTAGGGCAGGAATCTAATTAGATTGTTGGTTGTTAAAAATCCTTTTAATAATATTGTTTGTAGGAGAGAACGCGAGTCCAGAGTAATATACTTGAAGTGGGGTATTATTAATTATTTGGATGTGTTTTAGGATAAATCGGTTGGTGTCTTGTAGGAAGCCTGCTAGTTCTGTACTTATAGTGTCCTGAAAGGACATTAGAAGATACTGGGTGATTGTTTAGATAGCAACTTACTTTTAACTCTTGTAGTCCATTTATTATGCTAATAATCTCAGAGGCAAGTCCCATTAAGCTAATTGCTTCTAGCCAATGGAGGAAATGCACCTTTAGGAAAGAGAATATGTCATTTTCCTATTCCTGTATCCTGATGTACTTCTAGTGATACATCCAGTAGCGGCAGGAATATTGTAGAGCTTGCGGAATATGCTGATTAATGACTTGACTCGCAATGTCTTCCCGCCGGATCCCATAGCTGGATAGAGCGCACATGTTATGTTTAAGTCCATACCTCATGACCCTTAGGCAATGTGAGAGTGTTTTCCCGTGGGTCACTTTCTTATTCACTTGGAAGCCTTCTGCGGTGTTAATAAGAAATTCTCGGAATAATAAATGCAAAATGCGGACCGGTTCACCAGGATTAGTCAGGATACTAAGAACTAAGTAAAACGCGCCTAGATAGGCTATAATTGTTCTTTCCTGTATACTAATAAGCCTAAAAAGGCCAGTCACTGATAGTAGATTAGCAAGAAGAATAAGAATGCTAATTATAGCATGGAATTCTTTCTGAGACACTGATGAGTTTTTGAGGCAGTACTTAAGAATTAGACAATATATTCCCTCTATCTGGGATGAGGATGTTAAGTGAGGGTTTTGAAGAATTATGTTAAGCTGGTCTTCCGGGATTTAATAATCTTCCTTAATGAATCAGCAAACTGTGGCTGTGAAAATAAACAGAGGGATAGCTATTTTAACTAATATCTCTGTTCTTTTATAGCCAGGCTAATTTTCAGAGACTTTCCCCTTTTTCTTTATTTGAGTAAATTGATGCTGTAAAAAAACACAGATATTATATTTAATATTAGGTATGTTTTACAGAACAATATTCTGATGATCCCGGCTTTATTTGAAACTATCGCGGATTACAAGTTTAGGCCGGCTTGTTAGAAATATCTAAAAATAAAAGGTTTTGAATTTCTGCAGCTACGGCAAGAGTTTAAATAAAATTTTAATATTATTATTTTTATATTTGTCTAATGCGTCTATTATAACCACGGAAGTAGTCTTATACTGCTCTCTCTTGCTGAGTGGTTAAAGAAGGAGCTTATTAAATTACTAATTAAGAACTTTTGTTAATAAATCTGTATTATTCTGAATTATCCCTAATATACCAGAGGCCAAATACAGGTGACTAGCTATTAATTGCCTGGTTATTATCAAGATAAACCTTCTTATGTTACCACGGTCTGTTTTGCTTTTCTTGAAGAAAAAACTGGCTTTTAGTAATCTTTTATTTTAAAGTAACTCTGCGACTGTCTAGGAGATGGTAGACTTGCTAGTACCTGTTATATTATTTAATTAAAATATGTATTTGTCGGAGGTTTCGGCCCAGCCTATAATCTGGTAAAGAAGATTATATCTGGTGCCTGGTAGGTATTTCTCTTTATGTTAATTTTTATATAAATTATATAGTGCTCCTTCTACGATAGATAGACTAAACCTCTTGATAAGAGTTTATAGATATTCTGATATTTTTTTATTAATACTAGCTAGCCGAGACTCTGCCTTTTCCCTATTTTATATAATAGTATTTAAAGAGTTAAAACAGATCCACTGGCATAGCTTCTGCTATTCTTCCTTAATAAATAATTAAAGTTCGGAAAGGCGTTAATCAGTTATTAGTATAATACTAATTAATACTTTTTTTCTGATGCTAGCTTATTAGATAGCTAAAATCTCTGTAGTATATCAAAGAATGGCCATATAAACCTTAATTATTACACGGCCTATCTTAATCTTTTTCCTGGAGCTATTGCGGTAAAACCTCTGCTTAATATAGGTGTATTAAGTAATAATATTTATAAGGTATTCTAATAAATTAAATAAGGTATCTTGTAAGTTAACTCGATTTCGCGCCATTTATAATTAAGAATGTTAGTCTCCTCCTGCTCTGGATTGATAGTAATATGGCTTATTATTAATCTAAGGGAAACGACTGCCCACGCACTTGCTGTATAATAGATGGGATTAAAGGCTACCACGGTAGTAATAATATTTTTAAATAATAATATAGTATTAAGTATTTTCTGTGATACTTTTTAAATATTTATAATTTCTCCTGTTGACTAATAGATTTTGATACCTTCTTACTGGTATTCCTTATACTATTTTTTAATTATTTAAATAATTTTATTAATGATATATCCGGCCTAGGAGAAACTTTTTTCTTTTTCTGATTTAATACTGGCTTGTACTGTAGACAGAATAACTTGCTTCTTAGGATTTAGTTTATTATAGGCAGATTTCTATAGATCTTCGGGCAGGGAAGTGTCCCGAGTGTTAACTGTATTAGGCGGTGTGATTATAGTGACTGGGACTAATACGGGGACTATAGACTGGTTAGGTTAACTTTTAACATAATATAGCTTAGACTTGTTGTGGTGGGAAATACTGAGATTTTTTAACTACTGTTTTATTATAAGTAAATCTAAATAATTATAATATTCGCTAAAACTTTTATAGAGAATAATCTGGGAAGAATAAATAAGGCGAGGTAGACTTTTTACAAGAATACCTTGCTCTGATATGTTGGCGCGGCTAAAAGGGTAGTATCTTATTATTAACTAATAATAAGTTGTTATATTATTATGATTAGTTTCCTTCCTCCTATTAAACTTATGTTTTATTTGAGCTATAGAAAATCTGGGTTAGTTAGCGCCAGCGAAATATTAATTAGTTAACTTCCTTTATGCTCAGATTGAACCTTGGGATTAATATAGGACGGGCTGGGAGATCTATATAGTTTTTACTTCCGGGCACGTTTGTTATATAAAGTTTCTATTTGTAACTATGCTTCTTAGCCTGTTTATCCCGGTTAGATCTGGCTGTAATTATTAGCAGATATTATATACCGGCCAGAGGTTGTAAGTTGTACTGGACTTGATATGGAAAAATAATAGTCTGTTGTGCAGGTTATGTTATAAAGGCAGGGTATTTTATATTAGACCTGGTTAATAACTCTTAGCTACTGTATTACCTCCTTTGTGAGAAAGCTAGCAGCTTATTTGCGGTAAGGGCTAGATCAAAATAATGCTTGTGGCTCTATTGATTTTTTTTATTGGTTTATTAGGGATCTTCCCTGTGCTGTATAATTCACTTATTGAAGTTAATGTTATATAATGTTTTCTAGGCTCCTCGGCGGTGTCTACTGTATTAAAGAGATGCTATATAGTCTTTTTAATAATGACTATACTATGTAGCTTAAATCGTGGCAACAAACTCCGTTATATGCCCCTACCCCTGGGAACTTCGGCTTTAATACGCTATCCTTTTGTAACCCCTCCCTTGGGCGTATATTATAGGACCCTTCTACTTTATTATCTGAATTTTTATATAGGCAAGTCAGCCTCTCTTATAATGCTAACTGGGATGATAAGAGTATATTATATATTATTAAATAGAAAGTAACCATAAATAACCGGGTTGTGTTAAAAGATATTAAACAAGATCTGGAACTAAAGCCATATTTTTATTAGTAAGTAATTACTGAAAAGGCTAAGAAGATTATAGGCCGGAAGAAGAACTTTAACTAATATATTAGACTAGATAATACTATGATTATGGTTTCTATGAATGATTGTAAATATTATGACCTTACTAAATAATTTGAATATACTGATATTAATTGGACTGTTATAGAGAAGTAACTTCTATTATAGAGGATGTTTTTTTATGCGGGGAAGGAGTTAAGATTTTCTATAATTATTAATTATTTAGAGGACAGTAATCTATCTTCTTCTTAAACAGATAAAAGAGGGCTAATATTAATAATAGTGAGAATACTAAGAGAATAGGAAGTCTAAATAAAAATAGAACATTCTTCTGGGCAACCTGCTGCTTGGCAGAACATATATAAAGTGATGTGTTGCCCTGGTTAACCGTGCTACTATAATGGCTAGTTCTGCTGGTTAGATCTGGCAGGGAAAAAGCATTATAAACTCCTGTTATACTATCTAAGAAGTCTTGTTCAGCATATGGAGGATAGAAATGTCCTAGAGACCTATAATGATGTTTTATATGAGGTTTGGGAAAGGTTATATGTAAAGGATAAAAAATAGTATGAAAAGGGGTAGAAATTAATTAATCTAGTAAATAGATTAATTTCTTCTATTAATATTTATTTCCTGCTAGCACAGTCACCTTAGTTATTAATAATTCTAACAGGCGATATTAATACTTATATATTAAGGTCTGATTAGGTTAAGAAGATTGACATCCTTAGACTTTTTAAAGTAGCACTGGATAACTATACTAACTAGCAGCTAACCCGGGTGGATATTAAATTTTTTAAAGATAATATTAAAAAGGCCTATAATATTATATTAGAAAATTGCCTTAACCTTTCACAAGTTTATTATAAGATTAAGCCTGAGTTTTATATTAAACAGGATATGAAAATAGGAGTTGCCCGTAGGTTTGTGTGTAATATTAGTTTATAGGTAAAGGCTTGTATATATAAAGATAATGATGATAGTGTTTATTAATATAGAACAGGAGAGATATATAATTAACTCTATTGGTTCTGTGATATCTTATATATCCCTAATGGGTCTTAAACTTAAATAAGACTTAAAGGAAGCAAGCAAGTTTGATTATTGTCTAGTTGACCGCTTTAATCTAAGGGAAGGATAGGCCTGTAATTATTATTTAGATTATATGTAAAGATCTTTTTCAAGCTGTAAATAGATAATATATTGACTAAAATATACACAAAATGTGCAATAGCCTACAATATAATGTTGCTATTAATTAATCTTTAATTGCTAGGCCTGTATTACGGAAATATTTTTTAGCACTCTTCTTCTTTGTGCCTATAATATCTATATACTACTCAAGAAAAAATTAAACCCCTGATTGGGACTGTCTTTATAGGTTTGCTAATTCTATTAAATAAACAACTTGAGCTCTGTAAAGAATTTTTTAATTAGATTTAAATCAGGCAAGTATAGTAGCAGATATATAAGAAGAACCCCTTTCTATGAGTATATTTGTTTAATCCTCTCCGAATAATAAAATAAGATGTTATCTATTACTAGAATAGATTTAGGCTTAGGATATCTTTTATAATAATGGAGGAGCTTTTTAATAAAGTCCTTGAAGCAAGATGCGTCAGTTAAACCTTAAAATATATAAGAAAAAATGATACTATTATAAGTATAGGCTGGAAGGATATAATATCGTTGGCCTTAATAGAACTTTGTAATATATATAAATATAATACCTAGCAGAGACTAACCGGTCCTTTTAGTTCTTATTTATTTATTATATCTTGATTTATTAATAAAAACAAATTATCTAGACTAGAAATCTAAGATAAAGTTAGTATATTTATCTCGCAAGTTAGTATTTTACTTAATAGCCTTTTACTTGGCTTTCTTTTTTAACCAGCCCTTATCTAAGAGCGCACGTCTAATACTGGATTTTAATACTTTTTTTTAAAATATATTATATACAAAAATTATTATCTCATCTAAGTATAAATAAGGCTTTTTAAGTAAATAATCACAAAGACTTTTAATTATGACCAGGGTAAGGCTCTGTGGCTGTCTACCTTAATTTAAGGGGGCTTTTATCGTACTAAACATGTGTTTATTAGAATATAGTTTTCTAATAATATATTTATAGCAGTCAGCTGCTTTAGCTATTTAGACAGCTGTAAGTTCTTTGCTTGTTATTATATTATTAATAAGCTGCAGAGTGGGCGCGGCTTAATTAGGTGCTATCTTATTGTTCGCGATATAAGATGTATGATCGATGGTTGAAGTGGGAAGGAATGTTAAGGTGGGGGCTACCGTAGTACCGATGTGGCTGATGATATAATCACGTGGAGTTCTGTGACAGTATGCATTGATACAATACATGGCCTGTGTTCTGATACTGGCCAAATAAGGACTAGCGCCATCTTGGCAAAGGATTTGGAAAACAATTAATGAATACAAAACCCGGGCGCCGGTAGTGAACTCCAGTGTATACTCTGGGCCGGTCTCGTTCTCTATAGTAATGGCTTTGACGATCTTCCATGCGGCATACCCTAGGTGCTGCGAGAGCTGTTAGCTAGCCCTTTTCTTAAGCGATTCCTACTTACATCCAACTTCAGAGATTTTAGAAGTGGCGCAACAGCTGTGTCAAGGATTTGGTTTAAATACTGCACATTATCGTTCTCTATTTTCTTTACAACCGCTTGCTTTATTGCCTCTTGGAGCGACTCGAGTGATTTCTGGCTTTCGGGGTCAATATCCATCATTTGTACTATTGACAGAGCCATCTGTTATAAGAAATAAGACGGTCTATTAGACCATTAGATATTATCTGTTTGTTCTAACACCGGACAAGTCAGACATACTATTTGCACACTTCGAGCAATAAAGAGGGGTAATCGACTGACCTACTCCAAGCGTGCCACGTGTTCATCCGTGTCAGCAGGGCGATTAGTCATCTGCCGTGCCACCAGCTCCCTACCCCCCCCACACACACACACACACACCAACTTCTTGCATTGCGGGCATTTCATGTTTCTACCTCCGTGATAGCCATCATACCCTTTTTAGGCTAATCGATCGTCTCTTTTTTGTCTTAATTATTATGAAGACCATACGTTTTGTCCTAGGTCCCTTTAAGGAGATATCCAATGAAATAAAAAAAAGCTTTTTCGATCCTCCCCCTGTGATAAGAATTCTACTGTAGTGGGATCGCATCCCGGACGATGGCGTGCGACGATTAGAGATCCTAGGACGAATGGTCTACGCGAGTAGAGCCTACGAATGTAAGTCATCAAATGAAACACTAAAACTCGTACAGTATTGGAAAGTAGAACAGAGGGTAAAAATACATGCAGCCATACTTTTTTGTCCGTCCACGTCCGCACATCCTTTTCATCCTTGAATTCCTCGTCCGTAAAGTTTCGATCCTTCTCTTTTGCGTTTCACAATACCAGTGATTCTCAAAACCGAAGATGCAACCGATTCAAGGTGTAAGTATTGGATGAATCACCCCCAAAAGCGCAAGACCCGTTCTCTATCAGCGGCGAATTGGTCGTAGGGGTTCTGCTGTGGTTTGGATGCCATTGAAGGCCACGCTGGGCCTAGGAAAATCTTCCAGGTCGATCAAAGGGGCGATGAGCTGAAAACAGACGACTCGTTTTTGATGCGCGAGGGTTGAGAGCTAAACTTCATCACCATCGATACTGATTGCTGTCTCGGCAGATGAACCTGTTTGTTCGGAAAGTTCGGAGGGGAAACGATCTTTGATATTTCCTTTTCCTTGTTGAGCTCTCCATTGCTTGGTGGCTCCGTCGAATAGTTTGATGACTGCTGGGCCGGGGTTAGGTGATGGGGAATCAGCGGCTGAGAAAAGGTCGATTGGTGTTCAAGGGTTATTATTTATAATAGTTTCTTCGTCTAATTAATAGATGCTTTCAGGGAACCCAGGACCTTTAGGGTTATTAAAAAGCTCGGGGAAATTAGAGATGTTAGATATACCGGACTGGTCAGGGAGTTCAAAGTCTTTAATATCTTTAATATCTTGAGAAAAATCAAGTATCTTAGATATATTAAGTATTACTTCATCTTTAATATTTTTAGGGAAATCAGGTAACTTAGGGGCTTGAGAGATTTCTGAGTAACTAGCAAGTTCAGGCACATCAGGCATATTAGGCGTGTTGAGTATTTTTTTATCTGCAGTGTTGGTCGCTGTAAGCAGGGGTTAGTTTATTAAGTAATATCTATCTTCTATGTCTCTGTAGAATTCTTCCTAAGTTCCTTTTCTCTTTATCTACCACGACTAAAACATGCCCTGACTAATGTTTTTATAATGTTTATAGGGGACCTTAATTTTTAAAAGAAACCTTTTTATTATTAAGCCTGTTTTATGGTCTAAACATCCCGGTCTGTTTTTTAAAATTTGATGTAGGGCCGGGCTAGTTCTCTGGAAAGATAACATATTCTTAAACTGTAATAACTCCTTAATTTCAGGGCTTTCGCGGGTAAGCTTCAATAAAGTACTTGCTTTAAACGAGCAAACGATTGCTGACTTGGGGATACTACCCTATATAAGATATTCCGCGGCCCTGTTATAGAATTTGAACTTGAGTTTCAATGTCTTTACCAAAGTATAAGCAGAGTATATCGGTGTATTCAGCTTCTTTTGGTTAATAATTGAGACGATAGCGTCTTCTTTATTTTGTAAGGCCTGATGTATTGGCGCTAATATTATTCTAGATGTTAAGATGAACAGGGAAAGGTTCTTTGAGATTCTGATATGGTTTTCCATAAATCTATAAAATTCCCCTTGTGGGAGTTTATAAGGATAAAGATACTTAGTGCCTTCGGCAAAGAGTCTAGCCTGATAAAACTTTCTTGAATTAATCCCTTAGAAGTCAATATTTAACCACTAATATAATAGAGATAGTAGTTTATCTAAGATTTATTAATCTAGATGCATATTCCTTTTTTAGAAGTAGAATAAATATATTTTTTCGCCTGCTGTAATAAGTACAGAAGCTTAGGTTTTGTGGTTTTTATTAGTTTTATTAGTTTTGTCTGTTAGATAGATCTCAGGGGTATGTGCTGGCTGCTGGTCAGGTTAAACTTGAGGTTCTCTTGCAGCTTTAGCTTTAGCTTCAGGCTAAATTGTGTGCTATTTCCGTGTTATTATTTGTCTTAAATAGGTTATTTTAATTGACTTACTACAGTATACTTAAGTCTCTGTTTGGGTAGTTAAGTTTAGTAATTTATGGTATTAATGTTATCCTTATCTTTCTTAATAAGGTGGATGTTTAAACGCTAAGCAATCTATTTGATTTTTTTAATAATAGGATACCAAGGCTTATTACTATCTTTTATAAAAGGTGATAAGTAAACAGTTTTTTACAGATAGTCTCTAAAGTGTTTTATAGTAACTTACTGGGTGTGAAATATTTCCCACGGAATATTAGTTTTATAGCTACTCTGTCTTATTTTGGCTTCAAAGAAAATATTAAATATTTTTGTGAAGGTATAGTTATTTTTCTGGAAAAGTTTAACCATGCAGTAAAGGAACAGATACTGCTAGCTAGTCTAGTAATTTTATGGTCTGACGAGGTCTATAGTTAAAATAAGATTAAAAATCAATATAAAGGGATTATGATTTGTAAATAAAGGAAATAAGGATTTTGATAAAGATTTTTAAACAAGGTTAAAAAGAATGAGCAGTGTAAGGTAAGGTGAGAAGCTGAGATTGACCGGGATGAAGAGAAAGGATTCAAGTCTACTTACATCATGCGAGGTATTGATTGAGCGACAGCAAATCTAGTCGAGGTCAGAGGTCAAGAGTGAAATAACTCGGAGAAGTGGGATTGTAGTTGTGTCTGGTGAAGTAAAAATATAGAATTAAAACCCTCGGGATTATCAGGTGTTACAACAACCATCAGCTGATATATGTAAGAGCCTTAGCGGTTAATCTCCGCCGTTATTATAAGAAGAGGTCGAACTCGAGATCTAAGTCAGTGAAATAAATAAATCCCTCCATATTTTTAATCTTGAAGCTGCTACTCTGTCTAAAGCCCAGGGGTAACTTGTGTATATTAGGCTGATAGTTACTTTAACAGATGACAGAGAGAAGCTCTAGTAAACCTTTATTTTTTAGGTTAAGAGAACTAAACTTCCTCTGATGGCCTAAGGCTTCCTTAAGCTTCTCTAATAAGTGGAAAAGCAAGATTAAAAAAGAAAATAAAATTTCTTGGTTTATTAAAGATGTAAATATGTTTTCGATTAAGGTAAGACTAAATTAAGTGGGCGTTTAACAGGGATATTATAAAATTGTAACCTGCAAAAATAAAAAAAAAAAAGAAATAAGAAGATAATAATAAAAAAAGATGAACTTATTAAGATGTGAGTGGTCAGAAAGGTTAGCGACTAGTTCTGCGTTCAAGCAAATAATAACTGGATGCCCGCATGATGCGCTCGCTCGGAAGTGACAGTGAGAGATAAGAGGGGAGGGGTGAGAGGTAAAAGGTGAGGTGAAAGGTGAGATGAGAGGTGAGAGGTGAGAGGTAAAAGGTGAGAGGAGAGGTGAGATGAGAGGTGAGGTGAGAGGTGAGGTGAGATGAAAGGTGAGGTGAGAGGTGAGAGGTAAGATGAGACTGAGGAGTCCACATCTCCGAAATCAATGGTATCACTGTGATCATCTCTGACTAATGAAGAGAAAAATGGCTGAATACTGGGTAGCCGGTAGAGGCAGTCACCGGGAAGTGGGTCTGCCGAGTCTCCTGAATGCGTATGTCTTCCAACCTGCTATTGGGTAAGATGTAGGACAGTAAGAAGCTGATGAGATTAAAGTGGATAATTAAGATATTGCAGAAGGAGTTAATAAAAAAGAAAGAAAGAATAATAGAGGAGAAGATTATAGGGGTAATCCTGGCCCTGCAAAGGCTTTATTACCACTGCTTGGGAGACAAGCAGTGTCTTTAAGCACCCGGGTCTCTAAATTAGTAGTAATAAATTTACTATCTTTGTCCCTGTCTGTTTCCAAGACTTTTTACGCTTGCTTGTAGATATTATAATTAATTTTCCAGCTTCTGCTCGGATGGTTAGTGTAAGGCTATATAAAATCTTATCTCTAGTTTTTACCGTTTTCAAAATATTTTTGTGGGTTATTTTCTCTAGACCTGCTACTTTGACTATTTTAATTATTAAGTCTAAAGTCGGTTGGGTCAGTTAAATTTCAGGGAATAATAGTAGGGGTAATATTAGGGCTCCTTTTTATGCGGGCCTTAACTGTTCTTTTATGATGTCGTGTAAGGCCTATATTAAGGTTATGCTAGCGGCCCTCTGGGATTCCATCTGAGCTAGTAAGGTTATTTTTAATGTGAGGTTAGATAATCCTTGAATAAAGGTGTTCACTAATAAGATAGTCTAAATTATATTGACAGGCAGAGTGTGCTACACATCTAAGGCTTAATCTATATATTCTTAAATGGTTTTATTGTCCTGATGCAGGGTTGTAAGGCGCTAAACTATGCTTTTTATTAAGTCCTCTGGCAGGAGAGGGGTATCAAGCCTGTAGGTGTTCTACTAGGGTCGTGGTATAAATCGGAGTGCTCTATCTTTAAGGCCTATAAGTATAGCTGTTTACTTTATTTTATTGTGTTGTGCATCTGTTAAGTCAGTTTTGAAATCTCAAGGCAGGATATACTATTTAAGGTATAAGTTAAGATTCTCGCCCTGGGACCCAGAAAAGATTAAATTATAGTTAAAAAATATTTTTCTGATTGTCTAGGAGGAAAAAAATTAGTTGATAATAAAGGTTATAAGAGTATAGATATAAGGATGATGATAATAAGGTAGTTAAAAAGAATAATGTTAAGGGAATGATC